CCTGCAGGCAGTGCCTGCTCCACTGTCTTTTGGAGACAATTCAAGCTTTCCACCCCACCCCCAATCCAGAATAAACAAATACAAAGCTTGCTTTTTCTGCCTTTGTTAAAGAGGAGCTCAGCTCCGTAATGACAGCCCAGGCTCTCACGAAGGCCATGATGTCTCCACATAAATGAATGCACCCAGTGTGCATGGATTTTCATCTTTCATGTCAAGATCAATACCCAGGAGGTCTCTGTCATCAGTATAGCACGAGGTGAAATTCACATGTCAGGGAAGCTTCTTTAGGTCACAGTATCTCCATCCTCATGGTCCGTTCTGAGACCAGTGCTGGATGCCGGAAACCATACACAGTGCCATCTGCTGTATTTCCATCCAAACATATATACCTGCCACACATGTCTGCATATTCTCTTAAAGGAAGCATCCTGTGGCTTTTCTTTGGCTAAAACTGAACCCTCAACACTATTCTTGTATTTTGGGGCCACTGAATAAAATACTTAAACACAAGTATCGCCATATTCTAACAGTGGATCTGATAACCAGGAAGGCAGCTAAATGACTAATGGGTGGGTAGTATACATAGAGTGGATACACTGGACTAAAGAAGGACTCATCCTGGGTGGGTCTACATAAGATTTCATTATGCAAACGGTGTCCATTTTAAAACTTAGGGATTGATTATTTCTGAAATTTTCTACTTAATATTTTCATATCCTTTAAAGGTTTCCATTTAATATTTTCAGTTGATTAGTGGTAACTGAAACCTTGGAAAGGGAAACCAGATAGGGAGGGCTCCTTAAATACCTAGAAGAGCTATGTCTATTGAATTTTTTTTGTGGCTGAGACACTGCACTAAGGATGGTGTTGAACAAACTCATTTGATTCATCAAATCCTCCCAACAAACCACGTGAGGAAAATACTGTTTATAGAGTCTAACACACAAAGGGGTTCAATACTTCCTCAAGAAAGTGGTGGTCCTCCAAACTGAACCTATACCATCAACCCCAAACCTTGGGCCAGGTTGCAGTGTGAGGAATTTTTCTCAGCCTGCTCAGTCAATGAACATCCTCACAAGAAAAGCAAAGATTTTTTTTTTTTTGAGTACCCTCAATCTCAGGCAAAGGTTTACCTGTCTTCCCCACAACTGATCAATGGTTTCCAGGTGAGGCTGAACGAAGAAAGCTTTGCTATTACTCATCATGTGAGCGCTTGTCATGATGACGCATAGCTATTATCCCAGAACCCACGAGGCTGAGGCAGGAAGATCAACAGTTCAAGGCCAGCCTGTGATATACAGCAAGTCCCTGTTTCAAAAACCCAAACAAAAACATTGTGAATTACCTTCACTTGTGGTCACTAACACCTTATTGAATGTTTTACTGTGCACCAGGCTTGATGTGAGTCCAAGTGACACTGAGATAAATTACAGATATATATATATATCAAAGACGTGCCTTGGAGTTTCAGCAAATAGTGGCTTCTAGATGTCTCTATGACACTGCTGCCATAACAGCTATTTTACTTCCAAAGTGTAGGTGTAGCAACCCCACAAGGGCGTTTGACAGTGTTAGAGGGAACGTCAAAGTCCAGTGATGAAGATGGGGTTCCCATAATGGAGAGGGGAAGTGGACACAAGATCCCATCCCTAACCTAGAAGCTATTTCCACCTGTCAGCCACTCACATATACACACACACAAGCTGGTTTTCTCCTACAACCTCTCACTGGGTAAACAAACCACACCCAAGGGCAGGCTCCAATCCCAGCAAAAGATGGTCAACACAGAACAAACTCAATGGGGATCTTTTTAAATTTCATAATGCTTTGTTTGGGCATTTTTTGATAACTTTACTGTGTTTGTTTGTTTGTTTGTTTTCTGATGTTGTGTTTTTATAGGTTGTGTGTATGTACATATGTGTGTGTGCATGTTTCTCATGATTTTTGTTTATTTTTTTATTCCAGATTGTTTATTTTGTTTTGTTTTTGTTTTTTGTTTGGCTGTCCTGGACTTGCTTTGTAGAGCAGGCTAGCCTTGAACTCACAGAGATCTGCCTGCTTCCCTGAGTGCTGGGATTACAGGTGTGAGCCATCACCCGGCTGCCTATTATTTTTCTAAGGAAAAGAAGAAAGAAAGCGTGGAGTTGGATGGGGAGGATCTGAGAGGAGATAAGGAAACAACAATTATTTTCTAATACAAATAAAAAAGAAAGCCCAGTGATGATATTCAGCTCAGTTAGGAGACAAGAGGCCATCAGGATGACCCACAGGATGTTGTGTAAATGCTTTTCAGGCCTCCCCTCCCTGCTGAATGTAGGGAGTTGCTGCAGTTGCTGCAAAGACTAGGATTTGTTAGAGGGCTCTAGTTGGAGCCCTTTTCTCAAGCTGCTTTTGCTCTGTGCTGCATTCCTAGAAACTCTGGGAGAGGGAGCTCTGCCTGTTGTTAGATCTTGGCTCCCATGTGCAGATGTGCTTTCTGTAGCCAACTGTGTGACCATCCCCGGCACACCTGGGATTCAGACTGTGCTCCACGGATTCTCATTGTTCAGTGAGAGGAGGGAGCACTCTGGAGAAGTGCGGGATACTGGAGGAAGGTACAGAAAAATAAGTTCAAGACTAAGGTCTGAATGGGACTAATTAAAGCCATGCCTGAGTATGACTTGAATTACAGAAAAGCTACACAGAGAGTTCCCTTAAGGCAGGAGGTAATGCTTTCCTTCTTAAGTTTTCACACATGAGAAGTCACTTGAAAAGGACGGTATTCAGAGCTAATTTAACTGGGCTGGACTGGGCTCCACAGATGCTCTCCAAGCCTGGTCTCTGTGCTAAGAACATACCTGGGTGATCTGGGGAAAACAGCCTACATTTAAGACAAGGAACTAGTTTCCACACACTTATCCTGGCCTCTGGGTGCTCAAGAACAGGCTCTCAGAGTGGCTTCACAATGGTAGTAGACACTCCTAAATCTCAAAACAAAAATTAAAACCAACCAACCTACCAATCAACCAAACAAACAAACAAAAATACTCAATACCACTCTTCTTTAAGTGAGTTCCAGAGAACCACCATCTTTGACAACCACTCAAGTTCACAGAAGGGCCAGTCCTCCCCTCACACTTGAGAACCAAGAGAACAAGAAAATACTCACAGGAGACTGAAGTGCTTCTCGAAGCGCCTGCTATCGGGTTCACCCTGAGGAGCTTGTATTGCCAATCTCAAAGGCCCATTTCATGGTCAAAATGTTCCACAGTCCTGGCACCCCAAATACTCAATGTTCAAGGTTAGAACACTGCCTGCAATCAGGCCTGGTTGTAGTCTTAGAACATACCACGTCCTGTGGCTTTTCTGCTTTCAGTGAGTTCATGCTCATCTTTGCGTTTGATAATTTGATGTCATTTGCCTCAGGTTATATGGATTAAAGAGGGCTCAGCAAACATGGCTCATTACCTGGTACTGTAAAGGTTTTCTGGCACCAAGCCATGCACAGGCATTTCTGTGGCTGCTCTCTTGCTGAGCCTCAGGGATGAAAATCTGCAGTAAAGACCGCATGCCCTGCACAGTAAAGACCGCATGCCCTGCAAAGCCTGAAGCATTTACTTCCGAGTGCTTTATAATGACCATGTGTTAACTCTCCTGGATAGGACAATACCCTGGACGCTTTGAAGCCTACACGGGTCAATATAGAGATTAGTAGACCTATGGTGTGTTTTTGTTTGTTTGTTGTTTGTTTTTAGAAAGGTAAATGGTAAAACATGTTTAAACACACGTAGATACAAAGCTGGTGATACTTTATGACAAGTCTTACGTCTGCTTACTGGATCTGTTGCCCATCCTACCTCTTCCAAGGGTTCCAACCTGTAGGTTACCTTTATTTCAAACCCCCTGGCAAGAGTTGGAATCACCTTGTAATACTAGAATTCTCCTGAGCCTAAAAACTTGACAAGAAAAGTATATAGAAGAAAATTACAGGCCAATCTCATTCATAAATTTAGAATCAAGTAGTCTACGTCATATCAGCAAATATCATTTGATACCCATTAACTTTCATGTTGTGAATACACTAACTTCAAAAGTTTTAGAGGACCTAAGTCACTAATTGAAGCTCAGAAGGAACTGCCTTAAATTCTACTGTATCAATGATATTAAGAAACGGAGTAAACTCAACACATGAACATATTTGATTTGGCAGGTTGATGCCCACTTTTCTAGGCACCGAGGGGCCTTTACATTTTCGGCATGCACTGCAGGTGAGGATGAGAAACTCAGCTTTCCCTGTAGGTGGCCGTGGGACTCAACCTGGCCGCAGGGAAGATGGAGGCTGAAGGCACGACCACCTCCATTTCCTGGATTCCAGGCTGCAACCAAAGACACACAGGCAGCCAGGCTCTGTTGTAGTTGTTTCAGAAGTCAACCCGTTTGAATGAAACCCAGACAACAGCGAAGATGCTTGGCAAATGTTTTGAGTGGCACAGGCATCTGTGCAAATGTTTTACTTTCTCAGTTGGGTTCAAAAAGTGGTGTGCGGCTCGCATGTGTCTATTTGTGGGGAGGGCTGTGCAGGCAACAAGAAAGAGAACAATGAGTCCTGAAAAGAAGAAAAGGGCCTTCCAATGCCCGCCTTTCTTCCTCCTCCTGGGTCTTTTCAGCTTCACAAAGGGAGACATATTTTCCATATAATTGCTAAACATGTTTGCTTATTAAATTATTCTTTAATTAGTTAATGATTTTAGCCATGCTTTGCTCTTCGGATATTCATTTTGTGTAATAAAATAATTATAGATAATTAAACTATCTCAAGCCTTTTTCTTTCCCCCAGAAAACATTCTGGGTATCCAAAAATGACAACAAGTTGTAAATTAATCTGGAAAACAAAGCATGACAGATGAATGATTTGGTTGGAATTAATTAGGCACTAATTATATACTGGAACTAGATGAAGAATGAGTCTCATTATAAAAATAAAACGCTGTTCTGAAAGGCCGCAGTTACAGCAACTTTACCTTCTGTGAGGATGGAGTTGTTTCTCATCCAAATAAGTGCCTCGACACAGTCTTCCTCCTCATTGAGAATGAAAAGGTTGTAAGGAACTTTCCCAGTGTACCACAGCTTGCTTTTCTCCAGAACCTCTCTGTTCGTCAGGTGTTGATGTATGTCAGCATCTGTGGGGCACGGAACCTGAGGCGGATTACAGAGAAATGTTCCTATCAGTGGTGGCACGGTGGGAAGAAAAGAGAGTACTCCTGGTGACGTTCCATACTGCGCTGTGGCCTTTTCTGTCCCTGGATATTGTTAATTAGGTTTTGATCGAAAGGGGAAGAAATACACATAAACAGGCAGAATGGCCACTTTGAGGCAACTCTTAGGCTGAATTGCTCAGGTTACCTAATACTATATAACCAAGGATTCCAAAACTCAGTGGCAGAAACCATCCACTCACTACAGTCTGATCCACACTGGTTTTGTAGGTCAGTGATCCAGACAGGACAAGGTGAGCGGCTCCTTTCTTCTGTGCTACATAGTCTGAGGCCTTGGCTGGGAAGACTCAAAGGCTAAAGGTGACTTAAGGCTCTGGGGTGGACTCCTCTGGACAAAATTGTCAGTCCTTTCTCTTTCCTCCAAAGAACACGCCGATTGCCTAAGCTAACAAGCTGCCAATCAACTGTCCAAAAGCCACTGCTCCCCGTGGTCTGGAGAACCCACTTACGACTTAGCCATCTAACACTATGGCAGCTGGGTTTCCAGGGAAAAGATCCTGAGAAAGGAGTTCCATACTTTTCTCTAGCTGAGTCCTGGGACTCCAGAAGTGTCCTCACACCACATTCTGTCCTGCGTAGGGAGTGGTAATAGTGGCCTGCCCAGGATCTGGGGATAAAATGATTTGGGTGCGCTGGATACAGCAGCTATGGGGATATACAGTTAAAGCTATCTTCCACAGGAGCCATTACTTCAGATGCCAAAGTCCAAGTCTACAGACGGGCCAGGCAGAAAACGGAAGAGTAGAATTTACCTTTAAAAGGTAGAAAGCTTTCGTTTATCAGGAGCGAAATTCTCTACTTCATTCTCCCTCCCTCCCTCCCTCCCTCCCTCCCTCCCTCCCTCCCCCCCTCTCCCTCCCTCTCTCTCTCTCTCTTTCTCTCATACCTCATACAGACCTTCCCCCTGTTTGACTTTTGCTTTCTTGCTATTGATACAAACATGAATGGGACCGGAAATTGTCCTCTACAGCAAGAAAATGACAACAAAATCACAATAAAGGTTGATGGCCAACACTGGTCCTTCATGTTGAGGACACCCTGGCAACCAGAAAGAAGTCTTACGCCTTAGCCAAAGACTTCAGCCATGCCTCAGCCCCATCCGGCCACTGCCAGCGAAGAACACAGGCTCAGGATGGCCAGATCTGATTTCTCAAGAAATGTCAAAGCCTTGGGTTTGCAAGTAGACTCTTGACTTTTTATTTCTGATTCAAATTAAAACCAAGCAAACACTGCTGTCAATGCCAAATAAAATGGCACAGTTGCTTGAGGTTTCTCAGTATGCTACTCCTCTAGTCTTTCACTCTGGCTGCCAGGTGGAAATGGTGTGGACAAAGAGCAGCCCAGGGAACTGAGAAAGGCAAATTGAGCAGCTGGTGATATGTGTAGGCCATGTGCAGATTCACAGTAGAAGACCTGAACTGTGAGTCAGGAAGAGCTCTACAATGGCAATGGCACAAACGCTTGCTTGCCATCCAAGCTTCGGGTGAATCATGCCCTTCACCCCTCAGACCCTGACTACAGTCATTTTATAAACTGAAGAAGATGGCATGACAGCACCCGTACAGTGATCACAAGGGTTGTATCAGCTGCCTTGACTGTCTCATAGAGAACACTCAATAGCCTGAGAGGATTGTTATCACCCTGATGAGGATTCTCAGGCCGTCACACTCATCTTCCAGGCATGAGCATTCCTCCTGGAAGCAGACTTTCAGACCATGAGAAACTACAATGTTTTCTGTCTTTCTGGGGAGATGTCCTAAGTCTGGGCCGTGATGTATGAACCCATGTTCTTCTCTCTACAAAAACCCTAGGAGGGTCTGAGAGATGAGGACAGGCTGGCTCCTGTGCCAACCCTGAGGCTTCATCCCTACAGCTAAGTACCATAGTGACTTCAAGCCTCTGCAGGGGCTCCGTGTGTTCTTTCTCTTCCTAAGTGTCATTCTAGGAAGTGAACAGACTCGCCAGGACTTTCTGTTTTTGTGACATATTCTTCGATATAATCATGTGCAGCAGGGAAGGAGTCTGGAGCTGCTGTCTACACTGGCACCATGAATGTCACCGATTGTTACTGTTAATGCTTCTCTTTCTCCAATTTTTCCTTTGTTGGGTATTTCTAGTGCTGCTCTTGTGAATTTTCTTCAATAGTCTGTTGTTGTATATTTTTCCTTTAAAATATTTTAATGTTTTACTTTGTGTGTGTGTGTGTGTGTGTGTGTAGCTGCATGTGAGTGCTGGGACCCGTGGAGGCCAGACATGTTGATCTCCTGGAATTGGAATTACACGTAGTTGTGAACCACTCAACATAGGTGCTGGGAATCCAACTCAGGTACCCCAGAAGAGCAGGACATACTTTTAACCACTGAGCCAACTCTCAAGCTCTTAACATATTTTTACATTGATGGTGGTGGCACACACCTTTAATCCACACACTTGGGAGGCAGAAACAGATGGATCTGATCCCTTGCGTTTGAAGCCAGCCTAGTCTACAGAATGAATTTTAGGACAGCCAGAGCTACAAAGAGAAACCCTGTCTCAAAATCAAAACAAAACAAAAAGATGGCTCATCAATTAAGAGCACTGGCTGCTCTTCTAGACGTTCTGAGTTCAATTCCCAGCACGCACAGGATGGCTCACAGCCATCTGTAGTGGAATATGATGCTTTCTTCTGTTATGCAGGCATACATGCGAGCAGAGTACACATATGTATAACTAAATACATCTTTAAAATTTTTACATTTATTTATTTTTTGGGTTTGGAGTGGGGCACCTGCCATGATGCACACGTGGAGAAGAGAGGACAACTTACAACAGTCAGATCTCTGCTTATACCATGTGAGTTCCAGGGGTCAAAGTCAGGCTGCAGTCTTGGCAGCGGGTGCCTGTGTCCACTGAGCCATCTCACTGTCTTCTCACTGGGCACTTTGACTATCTTTTAAAAATGATTTTCATTTTAAAAATAACTTTATTTTTAACATATTGATTTTTAAAATATTTTAAAAATAAAAAAATTTAAACATTTTTATTTATGTGTAAGCGTGTATATCTGTGTGAGTGTATGCCACATGTGTGTTGATACCATTGAAGGCCAGAAGACTGCACTGGATCTCCTGGAGCTGGAGTTACGTGTGGTTGTGAGCTACCTGATATAAGTATTGGGAACTAAACTCGGGTCCTGTGCAAAAGCAGCAAGTCTGCTTGACCACTGAGCCGTCTCTCCAGCCCTTTAATTGTCTTTTTCTTTAAAGACAGGGGGGCGCTTGTTTTGCTTGGATGCTTTTCTCCTATTTCAAGTTTTGTGTAAACATGGCCTTGGTCTTACTTAGGTTATGACATTCTCCACCCTCACTTGCATTTGCCCCTTGTCATTTGGGTTTGCACTTTCATTTCTAACAACTGCATGTTTGGCCTTTCTTTTCTCACCTTTTGTCTTGTCCAGGGTTTGATGGGTGAATTTCCTTGTGCTGCTCCTCAGCACTCCTTGCCCCAGTTCCTCTCAACAGAGAGGCTTCCCCACTGAAATGCCCCTTTGGGCTTCGGTGCTTGTAGCAACGCCTACTCTTCCTTAACCATCCCCCTTTCCGGCACCACCAATTTTCCTGATCAATGTAAATTGAGGATTACTAGTTTTCTGTTTAGTAGGTATGTTTACAATTTACGAAAATTATTTCCATTACTGTTTGAAATCATCCATGGAGCGGCTGCCTGTGTCCTGTAAAGATTGTAAAGTTCTGAATTCCCTGTTCATTATCTGGAGTGCAAATTACAGCAAAAACAAAAACAAACAAACAAAAATCCACAGCAGCTAATTTTCCTGGGGTCTTGCATACAAAGAATGGCTGCTGCTTGTCTTCTGAGACTTAGGTGCACATGTAGTTTTCAGGTTATTTCCTCCAGAATCCTGTGTCACTAGTTCTGCTTCATTCTGTCACTTAGTGCCAGACATGAGACTGTTTATACCTCCATTGTTTTTTGTTTTTTGTTTTTTTTTTTTTGTTTTTTTTTTTTTTACTTTTAGGGGGAGCATTTGACAATCTATTATTTTTCTTCTAAAACTTGTTCATTGCCCACCCTCTCCCATCATTCTCATGAAACAATGAGAAATGTCCCATTCTTTGACATTTGCCAGAATGTAACTAACTGAAAAAATAAAAAATAAAAAAGTCTTTGATTTTGCTTGGAATCAATCAAGTGGACAATCCTTTTCTGGAGTAAGGAGAGTTTTCTCTGCTAACAATCTTAAATTCTTGTCAGGAGACTGTCCAGAGAAGAGACACAGACTTGGCTGTCAGGTGAGAGGAGGCCCTTTTCCCTCCCACTGCCCCCACTAGCATCCACTTCTGACACAGAGGTGCCCCTTTCAGGTCTGCTCCTGGGAGGGACACTCCTGTGCATATTCCACCTTCCCAATCTCTTAGGAGTCGACTTTTAACTTTCAGTCACGCACTTTTTGCTTACCCAGACTTGTCCCTGTGGCTTCGCCTCTCTTGCTGTTGGAGGCAACTGATCTACCGATTGGCATCTAGTGGTCACCCCCACCCCAGAAGCCCAGGCCTCAGGTTTTCTCTGGGCCAGTGCTAAATTCATTTGACTCCAACTTGACGAGTTTTGTCCTCCCTCTTTCAAAAGTTGTGCAAATCTTGGCATGGGAAGGCACCTTCCTACTTCACCATAATGGTCCATGATTCATGCAGCTCTGTGATCTCACAGGAAGCAAGCTGGGAATGGCATTCAGGGCCAGCATGTGCTCACCAATAAAAATAAAAATGGCCTGAAGAGATGGCTTAGCAACTAAGAGCACCTGCTCCTCTTCTAGAGAACTCAAGTTTGGTTCCCAGAACTGCATCTCTTCCGAACTCACACTGGGTGACCCACAGACATCTATTACTTCAGTACCTGGGGATCTGATGCCCTCTTCTGGCCTCAGTGGACACTTGCATAGAGGTGGGAGATGCACACAGATACATACACATAATAAAAATAAAAATATTTTTAAATTGATGGAAAGGGCAGATAAGGGAGTTAGAGGGTGTTAAAAAAGAGCTAGCTAAACCTGCTTTCAAAAAGGAGAGGTCGCAGGTAATGTATGTCATTGGTGGAGCAAGGTCAAATTTCATAAAAGCACTATTTGGAACTCTGAGGGTCATTTTTAAAGAAGAGGAGAAATGTTTCAAACTGGGTACTTCAGAAAAGGGGGCTTGGTGGTATGAGTAGGCTGGGCAAGAGACTAGCCCCCTTATTATCTGTTCAAAACACAGCTTAAGGTTTTACTTTGCGACCAGGTTTTCTGTACAAAAAACTTAAATGGTGTGCACTTGGAGACTGAAAACACTGCAGGATGTTTTAGAATGAGGCATGCTGACTAGAGGCTAAGGGTTGTAATTATATTTTATGAAATGTTGTCTTCTTGCTTTGGGTTTAAGCTCTACTGTCATCATTTTAATTTGGCTTATAAATCTAGGGCAAAACAAGGAGAGAGCTGGAGTGGAGGATGTAGGAAAAGACACAAGAACTAGAAGGTCCCCAGTGAATTCAGTTGCCCTTTCTCTATCACTCTATGTACCTTTGATTTTTATGTCCTTCTGGAAAAATTAAATTGGAACTCCCCTTTATCACTTCTTCATTTCATTTTTCCTGTTGTAAAAAGGGCAAGAGCTTAATGTGCTGCAGACTAAAGCTGCAGGGGCAGCTGGGCACACATGGGCAGATGCCCGAGTCTCTGGACAGCTGGCTGAGTCCTGTGCTCCATTTCCAAAGAGTGGGGTTGCACGCAGCGCCGGCAACCAGTGGCCAGGTGAGGGGGTGGGCAGGCTTTCTGGGAAAACTATATTTCTTTCTCATTCAGTGAAAAGTAGAAGGAACATTTATATGTGAAAGGAGGCGTCTCTCCAGTTAGTTTTTATTTTTTAACCAGAAAGACATTTTCTTCTACCCTCTGAGTATAAGGCTTATTTTTTTTTTAACATAAAAGCTTTTTTTTTAAAGAATCTGATCCAAGCCACTCAAAGGGCAGTCCATTGAGGGAGGCACCAGTCACCCTTGGGAGCTTGCTAGGCAGTCTTATCTCAGGAAACCCTGACCTGAAGCTCCCTGCTCGGAGCTCGGAGTTCGCATCTTAACGGGATGCTCAGGGGGAGTTCCTGACCAAGCAGTATGGGAAGTGCTGGTGCAAGGTGCAAGGGATTCCATGTCAAGAGAGCTGAAGTGTTTCTCTACCTCCGCTTTTCGTCACCTGGAGACTAGTGAAGACACTGAGGATCAGTCCCACCTAACTCATTAGAGCGACTCCTGAGAACACAGGTGTGGGTGTGTTTTGTCAGCACACCAGGAGGTCTCAACCATGGGTAGACTGAGGCGCCATGGGGCCCTCTGCGCTGCCTCCTCCCTCCTTTGAAATGCAAAGGAGCCATACATACTCCCTTGCCAAATCCAAACGCTGGTGAGATGCTTTCAGACCCCAACCTGTTTACTGGAAAGATGCCTGGTTTTTGCATAGGACACAACAGAACACTATCCAGGGTGGTGTGGGGCCTGGAGACCCGAAGTCTTCAGACCGGGAGCGGCTTCCGTTCTATCCAGCAACGCTTGAGTGAAACGTGGCTGGAGCACTCAAGCAGAAAGCATGGTCACTGGGAAACTAGTCAATCCGATTTCCTAATTTTATAACTGAGAGACAAAATAAAATAAGGGCTGACAGAAGGTGCACATGTCTGAAATACTTTTGCGTGAGCGCATTGCCCCAGCCAAATGCTAGCCTCTTGAGGCATAAATTAATTTAGCACAAATGCATGCCTGGTTGGGTCTGGAGTCTGCTGCAATGATCCATAAGTGTTAGACTTTGGGACAACAGCTTCAGGAATGACATTTCTCCAACTAGCTGTGATTCCCCCTCCCCCTCCCTCAACAGAATGTTTTTCTTGGAATGGCTTTCCTGGGAGGGTTTGCAGGCACCATTCTGGTCATGCGTGCTGGCCTTGAAGAGCACTTTTATGAATATAGAGTGGCAGCTGTGCAGGAAGACAAGCCGCTCTTTACCCAGAGATCGCGCACCCCAGCGAGCACGTTGCTGTGGAAAGCTCCCCACGTGCCAGCGGCGTCCCTGGTGCGCAGCCTTACCTGGTACTGCTGCCCGGTGCAGAGAATGAGGTGGTCGTAAAACACGATCTCAGTCTTGGAAACCACAACATGCTTGGCTGCTCGGTCTAGACCCGTCATTCTACCGACCACAACGTTAACCCAGGAGCACAGTGACATCAGTGCATAATCTTTATCATTAAAACAGTGGCTGCACAGAGAGAAGCTTCATCAGTGACATTTGAGCAGCTGACAGTAGGCATTAATTAGACATCTGGCGAGCTGGTTCAAGTCCCCTAGTGAGCTGGGTCTGTGCTCTCGCTGTGAGTTTATCAGGACCAAGACTAAGAGATATTTTTTGTTTTTGTTTTTGTTTTCCCATTTTGAAACACGTAGTCACATCCTCTTATTAAAGCTAAACTCTTCCACCTGCTTAGGCTGGGCCCACAGGGGAAAGGTGTGTGATTGTGTGTGTGAGATCACTTAAACTTCCTTTTGTCCCTATTTCGTGACCGAGATCTAAACTGTTTTAAAGTCCTACTGGCCCAGACTCCACAGGAACATATAAGAGGAATATAACACCACAGGGGACACTCCCCTCCACACACACACACACAAAAGGCAGGTGTCAGAGTCCTAAAATGTAGATGGCCCCTCGTATTTGCTGCTAACTTTACGTAAAGGACTCATTCTTTGTGCCCAAGTAACAAAACTCACGTATAGAAAACCTCAGTTAGAGACGCAGGTTCACAGCAAGTGCAACCAATGCCTGGAGATCTGGGAGCCCGGTATGGAAATCAGAAGTGATTTACGGGGAGCCAGCGCGTTCACATACATCAGCCTGGGACGGGTGGGCATGCTGAGGCTATGGGATGCCAGCGGCTGAATGGACTTGCTTTCTTCTTTTTTGGCTCTGTCTCAACTGAACACTGTTGCATCAAGACGACAGGAGAAGCAGGTTCTTGTGGTTTGAGTTTATTTAGGGAAGTTTTTTGGGGGGCATTCTATAGAATTTTCACAAAGATTTCACCTTATATGAGTAACACTTTAATGATCCTGATTTGAGAGCCAAGAATCTGCAGTGACAGAAAAAGTAATCCATTTACATTTAGGCTGCATGATCTTTTCTAGGAAGAACCGTGCCAGGGTTCGCATCTTTCTTCTTCTGCCAAGAAGCCTGGACCCCAGGGACTTTCATCCCTATTTTCTCACCTCTCGATATAGGATAATGAGCCCATCCTGTGTGCCTCCACCTCTGTGAGAATGTAGGAGTTGCTGTTTTGTTGAGTGTAATACATATGTGAAGGCTCTTATTCTAAATAATATTAATGATACATAATCCTGTTTACTCTCTTTGGAGGTAAACAGGATTCTGAAGTGGTAATGGGAGGACATTTTTTCTTTTTGATCCACACATGAATCTGGTCTCACCACACAAAGAACATTCTCGTAATGGATGCACATTAGACCCCGTTATGGGGCCTGTGAAAAGAGATGGGAGCACTGGGCTTTGTGTTTCTCCATGAAACAACACTTAAAAACAAGAAAATTTCTTCTTAATAAAAAAGGAAAATAGGGGCTGGCCTGTCACAGGAAAATAATGGATAGCGAGACGAAATTCTCTTTTAAAAAAATGACAGCTTTAAGGAATATACGAAACTGCTGCTTCCACACAGTCCCGGAGACACACAAAGGACTGCTTTATTTGCTGTGCAGCCTCTACCATGAGACATACACGATGAGAAAAAAAAAATTAAGTATAGTTAGTGCTCAGGGATTAGCCTGAGGAGGATTTGCCCAAAGATAAAAGCTCTCTGGGGACCTGTGGGCAGCTAAGACAATGCGGCCTCTAACGACAGTGGGACAGTAGCACCAGCAATGTCAGAATGGGTATTTCAGAGTTGGAATCTGAAACTGTCTGATGGCAGCTGACTCTTGGGACACTTGGTTTTAAGGAAGCTTTGCTGAGACACAAAAAGAAGCGCCAAAGACTGGCTGATGCAATCTTGTCTGTTCATCTTTCTCATCAAAAGCGCCACAGTGTGAGCTGACACGCCTCATTTGGGACGCTACTACCCCTCGGAGCTGCCTGTAGTGTCTCCACTAGATGGGTGCAACTATCTGTTGAGAAATCCTCCACATATTTTGCTAAAGATTTTACAGAGCAGAGACTGTGTCCTGGCTCTACACCATCACCTGGGTCCTCTGGACAAGGAACTAAAGAAGTTACAATGATGAGAGTTCATCTTTCATAAGCAAGATTGGCCAAAAGTTATGGGGATGGAGCTTGGTAGTAGAGTGATTGGCTGCCTGGCAATCACAAGAAAAAAGAAAAACTAAAAGTCCTCTTCATAGAAAAATCTGGAAAAACAGAGCACTCAGGAAGTGGATAAGCTTTTGAGGTGAGCCTGGGATCCACAGTGAGGCCCTGTCTCAACAAACAGAAGCACAATGGGTAAATTTCTGGAAGACACCACTGATAAGGTATGCAAGCATAGAAGGTGTGGCCTCCTTGTCATACAGGACTGATAGAGAGAAACAGCCCCAGCCCTCAGGGTCACAATCTGCACAAATCGGAAGCCATTCCAAAGACCCAAATGTTAAATCCGAGCAGGCTCACATACCCAAAGAACCAGAATTCTTCAGAAGTGGAAAGAAACTTTGAGGTTTGTAGGGGATTAGCTGTGACACACTGCGAAGAAGGACCACTGCAATTAACTTTCAATTATTCAGGGTTGATTGCCCAATTAGTGGCTTTCTCCTGCTTCCTGTTTCTCTTCCCTCCAGTACTTTCTTCCAGCTGCCTCTGAGGTACATCGTTAGCACCTCAACCAGAGGCTAGACAGGGGGCTGAGGGTAGGGGCGGGAAGACAAAACTGGCTGTTTATAAAAAAAAAATCAACAAAAATAATGAAGCAAAGCACAAAAGACCAGTTCACGGATCGTGTTGAGAAGAAGGGATTTGGATTATTAGATTTATGCACATCATTTGCACTTATTATTATTGAACACCATGAACCCAGACAAATTCCTTCCTGATGACCATTTGAAAGACAGCATCCTGTCCTGGGTTCAACCTCTGGTCCGAGTGTCATGATTGGGTTAAGGTTCCCACTCAATCGGGACTGCCTGTTGGGTCTCATCCTTCATGAAGACATTTGCTGGTCCTTCTGAGGTGGTTTTCATCTATATCATGTTATAAAATCCCTGCTCTAGTGGAGTGTATATTATATAGTCTTAGCATTTGGGATGGAGTCAATAGATGTCAATCATAAAAGGAAAAGTATGTAATATTTAGGAGGGTTTCATGAGCCAGGATTTTAAAAAAAAAAGAGCAGAGTAAGGTTTAGTTGAGTGTGTTGGTTCGTTGCAAATGAATGGGATAGTCAGGGTAGACTGTGGGAAAGGCGACATTTAAGAAAAAGAAAAACAAAGACTTGCTTGCTGTGTTTGGGGCAATTAAGATCGCTGGTCTGGAGAGAATGGAGAGAATTGAGCAGAAATAGTAAATGATACGGTCAGTGAAAACGGGTAGACTTTTTGAAGTTCATGCATTCTAGAACATTCTGTGATGACAATTCTCTGAAGCTAGCTCTGTTGGGATGAGAGCACACTAGCTGTTTGGGCCAGCAGGGCAAATGTGAGCGAGGAGCTGAAACTTCCAACTCTTTTCATTTTAATTAACTTAAATGGAAACAGCTCTTGTGGTTTGTAGCTACTGTACTGGACAGTAGAGTTCTACGAGGCAAGGAGCTGATGCCATCTGAGTCACACGTTCGTGTGGTGTTCTGGGGACTGTGCTGAGAGGCGGAGACAAGGGTAGAGGTAAGGACACCAGATTACTCCATTAAGAAAATCTGACACATTGTTCTCATCATGTCACACCCAACCTTGAGATGGGCAAAAAATTCCATCAAACTGACTGACTTAAATTCACATTTCTTGGGAATAACATAATTTAGAGAATGGGAGGCAGGACTGGAGAGTTGACTTGGCGCTTGCGAAGGGCCTGGGTTTAGTTCCCAGCATCCATATGGTGGCTCACAACCACTGGCATTTCTGGGGATCTGGTGCTCTTTTTTTTTACCTCAGCAGGCACCAGGCACACACACCGTACACAGGCAAAACATGCATACACATAAAAGACAATAAATCTTAAAGAAATTTAAAAAGAAAATGAGGCAGTGAGGGAAAGGGATGTCCATGGGTCTATCCTGTCTTCCTAGCCAGGGCTTGATGGCATGGTTATTTTAAATTCATAATACTTTACTAAGCATATGCTTTTCACAGCAAGAAAACCTAAGTCCAAGGTAAATGAAATCCCTTGTCTAGACTGAAGTGGTAGGAATGGCTCCTAGATCAGTGCACACTCACACACACATTTGTTTAAATTGTACTGAATGGCATTCTTCCAAAAATTCATGTATGCACCTGCATACATGCAAATATACAACATATCTGACTCAAAGTGCTGGTCTAATAAAGGTGGGGTTGGCAGCTTCTTGTGAAGCATTTCATAGAGTCCCCGGGTTCTAACCCCACCACTCTGAATAACAGACACAGAATTCCACATTCTGATAAAGGTGTTAATTGAAAATGGTTCTGGTTCTGCTGGCAAAGAAGGGGTGGATTTTCCCATTGAAGGTAAAAAAAAGTCTTTCTTCAAAATGACAGTGAATCCCTTCGTCAAGCACCACTCCATCTGAAGAGGGAATGATTTCCCTTTTCTCCAGCCTGAGTTTTGCTTCCAGACACTGAAATTGGTGGAAGCTATGGGCAAAGGAAATGGCATTTCTAAATACAAGTGTTACCAAATGGTGCTTCTACTAGGGCAAGAATATAGCTCTCCTGGCCTGGTAAGAACAGGTTTAAGCTGACCAGCTCCAGGTGCCTATGGTGAGGGGTGACAGAGACCACACCCTAAGGTGATGCCTGTAGGGTACATTCAGGGCCATGCTTTCTCTGCCCTGTTTCTCAGACCCCAACGTAGAAGCAGCTAGGCCTGTGAGTCCCATTCAACTGCAGGAACAGGGAAACTGTCTCCCCATGGACACAAAATGTCATGCCCGTCCTGCCATGCTAGACAATTCTCTCACTGTCTTGGCTTGTCTTATGGAAACTGATACAAGCTAGAGTCATCTGAAAGGAGAGAATCTCAGCTGAGAAAATGCCTCCATAAGATCCAGCTGTAAGGCATGTTTTTAAATTAGTGATTGGTGTAGAAGAGTCTAGACCATTGTGGGTAGTGCCATCCCTGGGATGGTGGTCTTGGGTTCTATAAGAAAGCAGGCAGAGCAAGCCATGGGGAGCAAGCCAGTAAGCAGCACCCTCCATAGCTGCATCGGCTCCTGCCTCCAGGTTCCTGCCCTGCTTGAATTCCTGTCTTGACTTCCTTCAGTGATGAACAGTGACCGGGACGTGCAAGCCAAGCTGCTTTGGTCAGAGTATTTCATTGCATCAGCAGAAACCCTGTGACACTCACTGGTGGATTTGAACTGGAATTTCCCAGGTAATGTCTAGGCTCTCCAAGAAAGGGTCCCTCATTTTCCCCTTTCCACTTCGAAACCTATTATTTAACATAGAAAAGGACTGCACATGAATTAGGAAGGAAAATGAATCATACTCGCTTGCTAGAAACCTCCTTTGTTCGCTGCCCAAAAGTTTTTTTCCTGGGAGTCCATTAGTAGAAATCAGGGTGAGATTATTAAATTTCAGGTGAGAGCTGAAAAGAAACAAAAAGAACAATCTTTTTAAAAAGTTAAATATGACGAAATAAAAATTTACTGTGATTCAATTCAACCTCATGCATCATCCAGCTCTTGGCATCTTCTTTGGAGGTAGACGCTCTTTTCACACAAATCTTCAAATTGAATCTTCACAACAAGAAAAGGACGATGGTGAAGTGGCTAACTGCAGAACATTCTAGAGGCTGCACACGGTGTAAGGCAGACACTTTCACTTTTTAAAAATTGCTTCACCCAAACGAAAACAACAAATAGAATGAACAAATTGTGAGGTGGGAGGTAATTTTGCATAAACTAATGCCATGTTTGAGTGTCAGCCCACTTACAGGAAACTGGAATCCTAGCCCTCACGGCACAGCATACAATTTAAAAGCATTTCCCCTTGGAGTCCTCAGAGCAATGCAATGATGTCAGTGATATTGTTGGCTTATTTTCTCAGGTGGAACTGAGACACAATGGTTTTCTAAGGCCATGTAAGGCCACTGTCTGGCTCCAATGTTGCCTCACCCAACCTTTGCCTACTGAATGGTGTCCTGGAATTTGGGAAGAGTTTGATAGGACTCCCCAGCAGACACCAAAATCTGAAGGTGCCCAAGTCCCTGATTCAAGATGCTGTGACATGCACACATAAGCTAAGTGTCACCATTTGAATATTTTACACTATCTCAGAATTATAACAACTTTCACAAAATTAATAGTAAGAAGCTCATCTACCATGTCATGTAGGGAATAAAGTCCGCATGTGCTAAGTGCAATGAAACTTTTCTCCCAAGGATTTTCTGCTGATGTTGGTTGAACATATGGATGTAAAAGCCAAGAGATGGGCTGCACTGCCCTGTAAACCTAAAGGCATCCAGATGGTTTCACAGGTCATCTAATTCCCACAGCTCAACTCCAGCCGCCCCACTGTCGGCCATGCATAGTTTCCCGCATCAGGATACCAGTGTCACCCAGCACAATATTCTAACGGATCCTTTATGAGAGCGAGGCTGTCACTTGGCATGGTGACATGCAACTATAATTCCAGAACTTGGGAGGCTGAGGCAGGAGGAGCATAAATTCGAGGCTGCTCTGGACTACATGTGTTGGGAACAAGCATAAGAAACTTGTCCTAAGTTTTGTCCTGTCATTTTGTTTTCAGACTCCATTTATTCACAGGGAGAAACTAAGTTCAAGGTCCGAGGCCCGAGGGGAACTGGGGACTTCTAAATAGCTGAACAGCTTCTGATGTTTAAAAAAAGAAAAAAAAAAAGGAAAAAAAGAAAAGTTGTCTGAATCCAGACACCTCAAGGACAACTTCTCCATCTTGCTGGCAGGGACAAAGAAGTTCATATTCCCAGGCTCAGGAACCAACTCTTATTGTAATTGATGGAAACCCCTTCTCAACCCCATATGTGAAAATACGACTGGACAATGCTACAGCTCCCCCTGCTCCCCCTTGCTCTATGGTTTTCACCCTTTAAATAGGCAATACGGCTTCTCCTCGGGGACTCGGTTTGGATCCTGAACTGGCCGCTTCCCTGAGCTCAGAAAATAAAGCTTGCATTTTAAGCTTCTGTCTCTGAAGTGAGTTTTCTTGGCTTCCACCTTGAACCCAACACATAGTTAAAACTCTTTCTTAATAAACCAAACCAAACCAAACCAAACCAAACCAAACCAAAGAGACAAACTGCTATATATTTGCATCATGCTTTCCAGAGCCCAAGGCACTCTCGGCATTATCACAGACATTAATCTTCAAAACAGTGTCCACTGGGGCTTTGGAGGTAATCGCAGGTTATGTGTATTTCATGTGAGAGAAAATGAGGGCTGGCCAAGGTAAGCATTTTGCTCAAGGTCCTGATGCTCCAAAGCAGCAGGGGTCATTGAAGCAGTTCCGGCTCTCCATCCCCAGGTGGCACCCCTCTGCTCAGCTGCGCTGTCTAAGGAGCCCGCTCCTGCAGAAGCTTCCAGGAACTCTGCACTTAGGACTCTCCTCTAGGGGCCTTTCCGTATTTCAGGGACTTCTATTGTGATTTGTGCTAAGCTTAGAGTGAGATAAAAAAAAAATTATGGGTGAGATATTTTCATAGGACGTTCACTGACAAGAAAGACATTTGTCCCCAAAAAAATCTCTTCTTGGTTTACGTGGTCCCTTTCAGTCAATCAAATGCCAAGAAAGGAGGCCTTTACTGGGTCAAAGGAAAACGCCTGCCTTCCTCTCTCAAGAGGAGGTTGGAGATTTTCCAACTGGAAAAGCTACCAATTTCCTGGCAGTCTGTTAAGCACTGAAGGCTGGACTCTGGGTGACGGCTCGGGCAGCCTGCAGTACACTCAGCTGACCCTGGCATTTGAAAGCAGCTGAGCACTAGGAACAGTTTTGCTCTGAAGTCTCTAAGGGTGGCCACCAATTAAGAATGAATATTCCCATTTAGTATGGAGAAAACCAAGCCTGCCTTATCCTCTAACAATAGGAATAAAAATCCCGACAATCTTCAAATAGCATAAAAGCCACTGTTGATCCCGCCTACTCAGGCTGTCAGTCCACACGCACACACCAATGACAGGCCTTGGATTTATAACTGTCCCGTGGAAACCACAAATGCTAAGAGTGTGTTTACACCCATAGACAGTTAAAAGTTTGCTCTGGTCCTGAATCAAAATGTACTTTAGATTGTATTAGTAAGAGCTGCCTACAGGTGCTTTTTACAACTTCAGGCAGACGGAAGGCTTAAAGACTATGCATGCGGCTTTACCTTTTACTACAAAAACCATCCCTTCGGCATGAATAATTTGAATTATCTAACAGCATGAACCAAATGACTTTTAAATTACCAAATTAGCACATTATGTTATCCTGAATTATGCTAAAATTAAATTTTTTCCCAAAAGATAAAAGAATGTTCCCACAAGTCAGAGGGTGATTTTGTTGTTTTCTTTTCCTTTCTTTCTCTCTTTTTTAAATATTACCTATAATAACAGTACAATTTTTTTGGAAGTGGGATTTCTTGAATTGTGCTTATCTAAAAGAAACAGCTTTTCTTCTGCCATAGTGAAATTCCTCTCAAATTCTTCCCTGTGGCTGTCCTGGTCCTTCATCTAGTCTTCAAGACCTGCTGTGGCCTAGCTCATTCTCCTGTCTGTATTCTCTACTTCTCAGGTCTCTCGAAGCATAAAGAAAGCACACAGAAGTCTTCTGTCTCCCACTTTTCCTTTCTTGCATTTACAAGAACATCTCCCATTCTGAAGACAGGTATCTGCCAATGAGCTTGGTCTCTTTATTGAATGCCAAAGCCAGCTTCTTTCTCTTACAATCACTTGGTATGCCAATCCAGTGCCAATTAAGATGGCTCCTTAGAGTTGATGGGAACACGGCCCTGTTTCTCTGCTTCTTCATGTGTGGCATGTATTTTCAAAGTCAGCCTAGGTCCATGCTAGCTTGGGGCTCCCTCCACCCGTCATGTTAATGCTATGGGCAGAAGGAGGGAAATGTACTGTTAAGAGGCAGAATTCCTCAAGCCAATTATATCAAGTAGAGTTCACGTAAGCCAAGAAAAAAAATGATGTGCCAACTGGGCAGCACCCAGAAACCAGGGCAGTTCCTGAGAACAATGGTAACAGCCTGCATTTGAAGAAAACGCAGAAGAGGCATATAGAAAACAACTTAGTGGACGGAAGCTTAGTCAAGTGCCCAGCCAGTTGGCTAGACAGCCCAACCTTTACTATGAGTGAATTCACATTGGTTTAGGTTGGCAGTGCAAGAGCCTGTTCCAAATCAATGGCTCCCGACCAATGTCATTAAACAGCAGGAAGGACCCTATCAGACAGTCCCCTATGACATTTCTGCTTGTATTGGCATTACTCACTGCCACATGTCTTCACAAAGGAAGTTGGAAAACACAGGTTTTCATGAAATATAGTGTGATTATTTTTCCCCGTAAGAACCACACTGCCCTGAGTTCTAACACTAAGCACAAAGCACAGAATGAATCCTGGGAGACAACTAGCTCATCAACTCATGAAGGAAGCATGGGGTGAGGATGAATGAAAAGTCTTAGCAATCAGAAACCAGGCAAACAAACAAACAAACATGACATACTCTAGGGAAACAAAAGGAGTAATTGCACAGGATGATGGCAGCCGAAAGGGACAAAGAGTCATCCAGGGACTAGCAAGGTAGAATGCCAGAGGATCAAGGTGGAGGAAACAGGGGAGAGGTGGGACAAGCCATGGGTGGCCCCTTTGGAGCTGTGGCCACACACCCCGCTATCTTGAAGTTGTTTTTAATGAATTTTAATTAGCTAGATCGCCCTCACTTGTACATTTATTTTTCACCAAGCTGTACCCAGGCTTCATGCCCACTTCCCAGGGTGATTTCATCCATCCCCATCTTACCTAGTTCATATAATGCATTTGACTATGTGTTAGTGTTTCTTCTGAGCTCCAGACCTACTTTCTAAATGCTCCAGTGTCACCCCAAATTCAGTTTGTCCACGCTAGGATGCTCCAGAGCATTTCAGGTCAACTATGCAGGCAACTAGAGCTCTTGGCAGTCTCCACCCCACTCCTTTCTCTGTCAAAGTCATGGCCAACTCACCATCACTTCGCTGGGCATTTGGAAGTTCATCTTAGATTCCTGTCCTCCTTCCCACTTCCCATGCCAGTCACGGTGTCTAGTCGTCTTCACCTGATCTGTATTCTTGAATTCCTCATCTCTCAGTCCCACAACACACTGTGGTAACTGACCATCTCACCTAAAGAAATGGACTTAAGGTTGTGTCCCTAGCGCATACCTCACTCCTGTCCCTCTTCCTCACAGCTACTAGAAACATCTTTTTACAGTAAATCATATGTCAGTGGTTTCTGGCTTTGAGAGTCCATCCTTTGCATACTAGCTTGGTAGCAACAGAGCTGAAAGACAGAGCATGTGTGGGATTGAGAGTCCAGTGGTCCTAGCGGGACCCCCAGAGCTGTCTTCTTGACTTCTGGCAAGTTATTT